TTTAAAACATGTAAAAATGAAAGTAAATAATAGCTAGCATGACAAGTTGGACCACTTTCCCCAATTCCAGCTATGTCTTGCTTTTCTCACTGCATGTTTTCAACTCAAGTTGTTACACATTTTAATTTTTTTTACTCTGTACTTATAATGAATGGAAAAAGCTCTTTGGATTATACTGTAAATTACTCTTTTTCTGAATTGTGTCTGAATGCACGTAAGTGTTGTCCTCTTAATTCTTTTCTGTCTTGGTTAGCAACTTTATGAATGAATGCTTTAATTTATTTTTCTTATAAAGCTTCTGTACCATCATTATGTGGAATTTATGTACCATACCTTCACTAACTTATACATTATTCAGAGGATATTTTGCAGAAAAATAGTTATGGAAAAATAACGCTATACTGTATTATAAAAGTCTGCTTTCTATGCCTCCCATAAATATGTCCTTCCTGTATATCTCCTTTTCTTCTTCCAGCTGAAATATGACTCGCCAAAGCTGCAGGCACACTTTTTTTTTCTGCAGGCACATCAAGGATTCCAAACTATTATGCTACTTGAATCTTACAAGCATATGAACATCATGGATCTCTTTAAAATTCTTTTGTCTCATTGCATACTGTATAGCAAAGAAAAAAATATCCATTTGAAAAGGAATGTGATGGAATAGCTGGCCTAGCTTCAACGCATATTCTTATTTTTCAAAAGGGAGTTTATAGAAAATCAGTAAAAAAACCTATTACAGAGCATTAAAAAAAAACCTCCATTAGAATAATGTTCCCACCTCTACAACGGGGAAGCAGGGTTGGAGGAAATTATATGACGAAATTTTGGAAAAACCTTATTTTCATGATGGATAAGCACATGTAGCTTTTCACTGAGCTAATATCTGCGTATTGTTTGATACTGAAATATTTGTATATAAAATCAGGCATGAAGGAACTTCAATGAGAGCTGATGATGTACTGTAGCAGCTAAGAGAATAGCTACAAATTATAATTACCAATATTATTTATTATAGTTATATCCCATCTTTCCTTGAGTAACTGAGTTAAGCTTACCTAATGAAAGTTTAGCTGTAAACATGCTGTTAGTCTGAAATTTAACTATTACCATTCCTTGCCTAAAATGTTTAGTTCAAACTGCAGTTCTGGCAACAAACTCAGTAGATTATTGGCAACAAAATTAGGTCTTCTTCTGATATTATAGTACATCATAATTTTAAAGAATTCTGGCTTATTGGTCACCAAAAATATCCTCCTCAGCTTCATATAGGGTTGTGAGTAGACCAGAAGTATCTAATGAAGTTTTGGCTTACTGTGATTTCCAAATATGGCTGATGTATATGAACAGCTTTGAATATTTTACAAACAGAGTGCCCAGTGTAAGTGTGGATTTGAATTGAAAACTCAGGGAGTTAAAATCCACATATACTAATTGTAGAAGGCTGTTCTACAGATCTGCCTGCCTGCCTGCCTGCCTGCCTGCCTGCCTGCCTTTCTTTCTATCTATCTATCTATCTATCTATCTATCTATCTATCTATCTATCTATCTATCTATCTATCTATCTATCTATCTATCTATCTATCGCTAGCTATCACTCTGACTGAATTAATTTTGCTGGAGGAAATGTATATTTTGAGTAGGTTTTATTGTAAAATCTATTTTGATGACATATTGTTCATACTTGATTCACATGTACCTATAAATCACTGAGTGAATGTCCACAGATCTTTGTGGGACTGAAGTATCTTCTTCTGTAAGATTTATGTACTGTGGAAAATAACAGCTTTGAAATGGAAATAGCTAAAACAATCATTCAAGTTCAAAAATGAAAACTTCTGTGAAGACACTTTACAAAACAGATGAATGCTTTAGTTATTTGCCTAGAATCTGAAGTATAGTATTTGTAATACCCTACTACAGAAATAGTAAAAAAAAATTCCAGAGATTGGAAAACTTAGCTTGTTCTAAAAAAAGGAGTAACAGGAGGTGCCAAGGTATTGTTTGCTGTATGCCAGCAGAAAAATCCAGGGCTTAAAAACCAGTAGATGGCATAGCAGAATCAAAAGGAATAGATTTGGTGAGGGAAGAAAAGACTGAAGTGCCAATTATTATAAATATTAAACTCATAATAAGAGAAATGCAAGTAACCATTTCAGTCTGGCTATAGGCAGTTACAAAAAGTACTGTGGGCACAGTCTATCTTTACTCCTTCCAGCTTCTGATAATGGTTTTAGAATGCGACAAAATCATCGTGCCAACTTAGCAACTTCATGAACAATGCTGCACTTTGATTTTACTGTACATTGAGAAACAAATTTGATAACAAGTTCTTTCAGCACTGATAAATATCCACAGAAACTTAAGTAACCTAGGTTCACCATTGTTTTGTATAAAAAATATGAATGGTTGCTTTGGGTCTTAGAGATTCAGCTGAGGTTTCATGAAAAAACTAAATTTCTTGCTCTTTGTTATCCTCAAAATTTACAACAAAGACGTACGATGGGTCTTACTAATTCTACAAATGAATTAGGATTTTTTTTTAGCTATTAGTTCTTAATAGTTTAAAAAAAACCTAATTAATTTGTCGAATCAAGATTTAGACTGAAGGGGCATTTGGCCAATACATCTCTTTCCAGGCAGTTTTGAGAAACTAAATAGAGGATTGTAGCCTTGGAAACAAAGATTAGGCCCCAGAATAAAATACTATTGGGAAAGAACCAAGAAGAATGGTCTTTGTGATCACTTTAGTATGCTGTGCAGCAAGGCAGAAACAAAAGGATCACAACACATGCCCACATGATACAGAAACAGTTAACCTCCACTAGAAATGGAGATACTTCAGAATTGCCTCAGATATGCTGAGTTGGCCAATTTCTAGACACCTTTATGGGTTGGTTGGCGGCAGTGGTGGGATTCAACTATGTGAACAACCGATTCTCTGTGTGGATGCCACTTCCGGAGGTCCATTCTGGGCCTGGGCAACAAAAAATTAACTACCGGTTCTGCCGAAGTGGTGCGAACTGGCTAAATCCCACCACTGGCTGGCGGGCTACTGAGTTGGTACTGAGATGGGCCTGTTTGGGCATAGTTCTCTGGAATGTAATCAGTGGCAGAAGCATGGTTCTCTAAATTTATAAAAGTTAAAACCACAGTAATAAAAAAGTGCTAACATCCCTGCTAGTTTTAGGGATATTACTCTTGCCCTGCATGTCTATTAAACTGATTCGTTGGGTTTCCTAGAATAAAAGTATACCAGGGTAATTCCAATGGGAAAGTAAATAGAGAATTTGGTACATCTTAAGCTCCTCTTTAATGGTTTTTGTTACTTATCGAGACTCCTTATTCTCAGTCACAGTTTTACTAAGACCTGGTTCAGGAGGAACTAAACAAATAAAAACAGGACAAAACTCAAACTCAACCGTATCTGATTTTTTAAAAAATAAAATCTACCCAAAAAAATCTGAAAAGGTGTTATTTTCATCATCAAATCTCTTGAGTTGTCTCAGAACTACTTTCTATGCACAAAATAACTTTACCTCTCCACATGATCAACATTGCCTGCTACACCAAGGCCTCCTATGGTATATATTTTGCCATCGTAAACCAAACTGTTGTGCCGACATCGTGGGACTGTCATTCGGGAAACGAGATTCCAGTTATCAAGGAGCGACATGTAGCACCAGACATCAGACAGTGTGACTCCAGCTTCCATACCACCTGTCCTCGGTGAGGAGAAGGGGGGAAAAAAAGACCGCAGTGATTTGATATATATTGCGAGGCAAGTCAACTGCAATACAAGAAGATCTTCCAAATGACACTTGGCTAATTAAAATAAATCATCGTCGATTGCAAGCATCTGTTCTGATGATGCAGATTGCTGTCACTTATTTATGCATCCCAAAGGGTTTTTTTTTTTTTTAAAAAAAAAAAGGACTGTCACGATGTCAGGCTAGGCAGGACATTTGCATATGTGAGCATAATTAGGCAGCATTCATAAATATCCTACAGACTATTCAGTTGCATATGCAACTGTAAGAAGCAACTAAGCAGCTTACTCAACACTTTCAGATTAGAAACTATCCCTAACACACATGGCCTGGGAAATGGATGCTACAACCAGGGGGGGCTGTTCTCAGAATCTCTGTAGCATCCATTCAGTCCATGGCTCAGAATGTAATGCAGTAATTAAGGATTTCAGAGAGTCATTACATGTTTTAGTCTATGAGTATCCCTAAAACCGTAATAGTGAAAAAATAATAAGATACTCCCTATGGTACGTAATGGTTGTGTTAAGTGGCACACAGATTTTGCAACTGATTCTTTTCTCATTTTTTTCTTCACCTGCAATATCTCATACTTTGTACTTTCTTCCTAATTCCCCTGTAGTCCCCAAGGCTGATTATATAAGTTTTCTTCCATAAGTGAAATGTTGGGTAAAGCGTATCGTGGTTGTGGCCTTTTAGAAACTTGTGAGATGCATATTTACCCAAATCATTATGTGATATTGTGAATTTACATGTCCGTAACGCTATAGCATTTCTGTTCCTCCGGGTAAACATTTCAGAGGAGACCTTGTTTCCTTTCACTAGGAAGAGGTTTCAAGATTTTTAAAAATGAGGAGGGATTACATGTCTTTTAAGTAAAAAATATGGTCATACAGATCAATAACTTGAGCAAACTAGCTTCAGGTATAGAAACGTAATCATTTTGATTCAGATCCAGATGTTTTATACTGTGTCACAATTGCAAGGAAAAGCTCTTCACAGTTTAATCAAGATCCATAATATATCTTTTTGTACATTACAAGGGCAAAATGTCCTAGGGAGAAAATCTGAGCTGAAATGATGCTCGAATGAACTTTTTCCTTCCCAGCCAAAATACCATGCATCCATGTTTGCCATATAAGTTTGCAAACAATCCATCACGTTTGTTGCTCACCTGAGAGGTAGACATTGTCTCCAGCGCTCACCACACTAAACAACTCCCGATCATAGAAGGGCAGGGTGGCCAATGGATACCATTTGTTGTTCTGAGGATTGAAGCATGTCACTGCTGTCAAAGCACGTTGATTCATTCCAATCATCTGACGGCCTCCTACTAGGACTATGACCTCTGCTACACCTGGAATGGTAATTGGCCCAAACATAGATTAATTTTTATAGATACAATTATATATATTATCATCTCATAATCACTCAAGGATCGTAATCTCCAATTTCCTTCACCTTGTTATTCTTTGCATAAGCCTAATTCTTTTCTGCTTTTCATTAGATTGGATTATATGCTTAGTGCAATCTGAACAGGATAAGCAGAATAGCAAAATATTTCTCTTGCTGCTTAAGCAGCATACAATATATGCTCTTTTTTCAAGTTATGGCAAGATTATATATTTAGATTAAATTTGGAGTATGTGAATAGCAGTAGCACTTGGGCTTATATACCGCTTCAGAGTGCTTTACAGCCCTCTTTAAACGGTTTTACAGAGTCAGCCTATCTCCCTCTCCAACAATCTGGTCCTCATTTTATCGACCTTGGAAGGATGGAAGGCTGAGTAAAAGATCACGTGAAGTATTAATACCACTTTACAATGCCTTGGTAAGGCCACACTTGGAATACTACATCCAGTTTTGGTCACCACGATGTAAAAAAGATGTTGAGACTCTAGAAAGAGTACAGAGAAGAGCAACAAAGATGATCAGGGGACTGGAGGCCAAAGCATATAAGGAACGGTTGCTGGAATTGGGTATGTCTAGTTTAATGAAGAGAAGGACGAGGGGGCACATGATAGCAGTATTCCAATATGTCAAGGGCTGCCACAAAGAAGAGGGAGTCAAGCTATTTTCCAAGGCGCCTGAAGGCAGGACAAGAAGCAATGGATGGCAACTAATCAAGGAGAGAAGCAACCTAGAACTAAGGAGAAACTTCCTGACAGTTAGAACAATTAACCAGTGGAACAACCTGCCTCCAGAAGTGGTGAATGCTCCAACACTGGAAGTTTTTAAGAAGAGACTGGACAGCCATTTGTCTGAAATGGTATAGGGTTTCCTGTTTGAGCAGGGGGTTGGACTAGATGACCTCCAAGGTCCCTCCCAACTTTATTGTTGTTGTTGTTGTTGTTGTTGTTGTTGTTGTTATTATTATTATTATTATTATTATTATTATTATTATTATTATTATTATTATTATTATTATTATTATTATTATTATTATTATTATTATTATTATTATTATTAACCTTGAGCCGGTGAGACTCGAACTGCCGAACTGCTGGCAGAAGTTGCCTACAGTGCTGCATTACACCTCATCTGCTAATATGGATTTGAATAATTATTCCTTAAAAGATCTTTGCATAAAGAACTTACTTGAAGAACTCAAAAATATTTTTCAAGACCTGAAGTTTTCTTTAAATGATGGATGTGTATTCTAAAATAATCTATTGAGCATTGCCAGTATGACATCAAATACTGTGTTTATGTTTCCTTCCCTACGTTTGCTTTGGAAATTTTGACTTAGAGTTTTCCCCTTGGAGAGAGGAAAATCACCTGTTTAGAACTAATGTGATTATAATAAATAGCCTCAAGAGGATATTGTAGATTTTGTGATTTTCACAAAGGATTGAAAAATTCTTAATGAATAGTTACACTAATTGGACTTTGACTTACAGTAATAATCACTCTTCTTATTCTTGGGAAATTACTTTTTCTTAATCATTTTTGTGAAAATAGTTTGCATTACCCCAACAATTTTATTTGTCAACAGATACTTTTCAGAAATTGTAAAATTTTCGGATTATTGTTGGTCAGCTCCAATTTATTAAGAGCAAGAGAAGGGCTGTTACTGAAAGTATTTCATCTTTCTGATAAATTCTCTATTCGGATACCATTTCTGCAAAAAATGCAGCCTGACATATACAGTTTTATATACTAATAACCTCTCGGCTTTTTGAATTTTCCTGCTGTCTTGAAGCAACTTTGAAAAGCAATTAGTATGCCTAAATTTTATATGAGATGTCATGCCACTTTTCAACAGAATGGGTATGTTCAAATGTTTTGAACATTACTATAATAAAAGCAGTTCAGGGTCTCTTTATATTCCCTAGGTAATAAATAAAATCTGGGAACTGAACCCATTCACTGATTTAGTGACTCATTTATAGTATTTTTCATCTTTCTCTTTCATATATGCTCATGCATACAACAAGGATATACAAGGACATTTATCAAAAAAAACCCTCTCATATTATGTTTTTTTAAGAGTATTAGTATAACAAAGAATGTCAAGCAAAACATAAGACTTAGTTGTTTACCAAACAGGGGCACTTCAGTTATGACTTTCCGTAGTCTGAAGAGGTCGAATTATCTAAACTATTACATTCAGGACAAAAAAAGGGCATTACTCAAAATGGAAGACAAAGTAATTATCTGTAAAATGGCCACTCTACTTTAAAAATGCATTGATCCTCCAACTATACATCCATGCCAAACAAGTTTTGCTCACAGACCCTTACAAATACAGGTAGCCCTTGATTTATAACCATTCATTTAGTGCCTTTAGTGTTCAGAGTTACAACATCACTGAAAAAAGAGACTTATGACTAGTTTTCACACTTATAACCGTTGCAGTATCCCCATGGTCATGTGATCAAAATTCAGACACTTGGCAACTGGCATGGATTTATGGCAGTTGCACTGTCCCGGGGTCATGTGATCACCACGTGCAACCTTCCAAACTGGCTTCTGACAAGTAAGGTCAACGGGGGAAGCCAGATTTGCTTAATGATTGCATAATTCACTTAACAACCGTGACAAGAAAGGTCATTAAAGGCAGCAAAACTCACTTAACGAATGTCTTACTTAGCAACAGAAATTTTGGGTTCAATTGTGGTCGTAAGTCGAGGACTATCTGTATTCCTTTCTGTCTTTTCAATGCAAATAGCAAAAAAGGAAGAAAATCATCAGGATGGAAAAAAGAGTGAAAGAACAGGACTGCTGGACTGGGAAGGGAAGGGGTTGATAATGTAAGAGGAAAAGATAAACTTGACTGGTCAGGAAAGGCTATAGGTTTACATCAGGGCAGGAGAGAGGCCACTGTGATCCCTTGTGTCTCACAATGTGAGGACTAGGAGTGGAGGGGATCTCTCCATTCATGGACTCCAAGGTATATTTCTTTCTTTTTTAGTCTTCACCTTTCACCAAGGCAGAAATAACTCCTTCGGTAGTCTGCCCCTTATTTTATGAAAATGAGGACTCATTTCAAAGAAGTGAGTGAGATCCTCTGTAGACTTATCTAGAAGTCACATTATGTTTAATGGCTTTTCTGCTTAATAAATCTGCTCACAACCAGCCAGGCATTTTATAAATGAGACAAAAGGTGTGTGTCTGTGATACCTCAGGGTCATGCATAGATTTAGGTATGTTATTGCAAAAACTTTTAAAAAACTATTATTGTCATCTTTAAATGGCCAAAAAAGATTACACTATTTTCCGGAAGGCAAACCAACGTATTCAAGGGTATCTGTATTTTAAAGGTATTTTGGATATTGGATTAAAGACATATAAACTACCTACATGCCCAGAATTCTATCTTCTGACTATGCTAAGCTGTTAAAGAAATATGGCCAAACCATGACAGAAAACCATCTGCTAGGGAATTAGCACCTGGTCTGGGATGATGAATACTCACTCCCTCGTTCCCTGCTTTCAACACTTTTGTCACAAGGAGAATCAGTGGGGAAACCTGAAGAGCTGCAGGATGTCCAATTGCCCAATTCACAATGCCCAATTGCCTAGTTTGATATCTGACTGTATCTTGGAAGCTTTATAGAAAAGGTTGAGAGGAAGCCTTTTCATCTTGGTTCCTTACTTGCAGCCTGCAAATGCCATTAGCCATTTCAGACATAGTTCCAGAAATTCAATCTTTTCAAAGCTTCCGGCATTACCTGCTGATAACCTGGGCCGGGTTCTTGGAGTCTGCATCTCTTGCCTGGCGTGCGGCAACATGTGATAACGTTTTGCTTCATTCACCAGGTCCCGGCAGGCCTCTGAAGATTTTATCAATTCCTCATTGTCAACTACGTTCAGCAGATAACTGGGATGGATGAAGGGCAGACGGACCACTGCCAACAGCTCAGCAGAATACTGTAGTAAAAAAAAAAAAAAAAGACAGGATGCTTGATGCAACTGGTTTCTCAACAGCCCTGCCCTCTTTTCTTTTTTGGCTCTATTTGGGGACAGTGGAATATTTGTATTTGGCCTATTTTCATGATAATAAATCTGTCTAGGCTTTTCTCTTCTTGTGCTCCCTCTTCTCAAAAGATAGTTACGGCCCTGATGAAGGTAAAAAAAAGAAAAGAAAAGAGTAAGCCTTCTTACTCATAGAATGGAAGAAATAATGTCAACAGATACCAGTTTTTGTTTTATATTATGTAAACAAACATTTCAAACTTAAAATTGTTGGTGGAACAGAGGAGACCTGCTGTGATTTTTTTGCAAGTTCTTCAGTTAACTTTGAAATTTAGCTCTGGCTGCTTTATTTCAAACAAAGAGTTATTCTGGCAGCATTTCAAATGTCAAAAAAGTTCTATGTTTATAGAGCATCTAAAATGAATGGTGAATAATAGCAGTAGTTTTGATAAAGCTGTGGGGTTTTCTTCATTGATAAAACAAATACGTTCTTTCAGGTTCTGCTAGAAGTCAATCTCAAGGAGCTAATAATCAAATGCATGTGGCATTATCTCCATCCTTCTGCATCAATAAAATAAGCTTTACAGTGCGAAGGATATTTAAATAGCTGGAAACATCTATCATCAGACAAGGCTTAACAGAAACCAAAAGTGCAAGTGAGAGAAAATGGAATATTATAAAACAAGAGAATTCATACAATGATTTATTTTTGTAACTGTTCATTCTCCTAAATATCACAGGCTGCCTCAGACCATAAAAGCACAACAGGTGGAAAATAGGCAAAAAGAGCAGATTTGTAAAAATGGGAAAATTAAGAATAGTCAAGGATATTGCTAGGGCAATGCTGTGAAACGCAGGAAAGGGAGATGGAAACATTATTTAAGAACTTCAAAGCACCTGAGATCTTCAGGCAACCATGAGTAGTACCATTATCACTCCAAATACCTTTCTTAGCTAAGTTTTCAACCTTGGAGACATTAGGTGTTAGGGAGAATGAAGACAGCCAGCTAAGAATAGAAGAAAATGAGGGCTTGGAAGGAGTGCAAATTATACTCTGCTTAATGTTCTAAACACACCTAATTCTAACTTTTTAGAAAGTGCTTATCAATTTAGACCTATTAGAGGCTAATGTTTGGTAACTATGTTAGTTATGAGCTGTCGCTATCACCAAGACATCAATCACATATATTGAAAATATTTTATTTGAAACGGTTTTTTTAGGACACTAAACTCCCTAGAGCTCCCATGATTTGATCAAAAGTTAAGTTAAAAAAAACCCCCTACTCATATAATGGACAGAGGGAAGATAGCGGTTGCCTTTATTAAAAAAAAAAATCTACCAGAGATGAAATATTAGGGGACTCATAAGAGACCACTTTTCAATCTTTGGCAGAAAACTACCATCTGTCAGTTCTACATTATTAAAATCCCTAAAATTTACATTTATTTATGCTCTTATTTGTTTAACCAACAATGGATCTATAAGAACAAATAGACAGAAAGCTGTATGAAAAGCAGACTTTTATTTGCCGTTTCACCATATCAGCTGCAATAACCATCTAAATTTAGAATTAAGAAAAATGCTCATCTCTTCAGAGCAGGACATATCACAGCAAAAAGATCAGACTAATGTTCTGTATGTGTATATTAGATGATCTTGAATAATCAATAAAGGCCATGTTTGAATAATATCACATCTTTAGAGAATACTTATCCTTCAAAGCTTTGACAATTGCAGTATTATTGCAAACATACCCAATTTATTTTGATTAGTTTTCTATTGAGGAACATAGTACAAAATGATTAAAACATAAAAGTTCTGCCTGTAAGAGATTATGCCCTTGGCCCAGTTGTTAAGGTTAAATAAATAACACTAATGTCTATTGTTAAAGAAACATTACTAATGTTACTGGCTTTATTTTCATGCTATCTTTGTTTTATATTTGTGTTGAAAGCTGGTTATCGAAATGCTAACACTAATGAAATTGTTGAAGAAATACTCCCGAAGTGTGATATGACTGGCGTATCTCTGATTTCCAAGATGGCAATTTCTTTAGGGGAGAAAACTTGAGGAAATATTAGCAGGAAATTGTCAGTATCTTAAAAAGCAACACAGATAACACAAGCATTCAGATTGAACTCCAAAAGAGAAGCTGGTAAGTTGGGAGCCAGCAGTTCCTAGACTAGCGAGATCTGTTAATGGCAACAGAGTTCAGGTGCCTGCAAACCTATCAATAGAACAGCCAAGTATCTGTTGACTAGAGAAGGCAGGAGACAAAAGCTTAGAATCTAAGCCCTGAAGCCCAAACCTATTTAAGGGCTTTGATTTCAATGTGCTGCAAAGAAGAAAACTTTGGGGGCGGATATGGCTTTATTCTCGGCCGCAAGAGAACGTGAAATCAAACCAAATCATAGGAAAGCCTTCTGGCAAGGATACCTGTTCTCTAATAGGGGTTCAATGTTAGGAAAACCAAGACTGACAGCCAGGTCTACTCTGAAGCCTGACAAAGCCTGTCAAAAATAGACTGACCCCTACTAGTTATAAAGAAATAATAATAGGAAAAAGCAGAACGGTGTACAATCTTCTCCAGAACGTTGCAATGTAATTTAAAAAAACAACAACACAACACTGTAACAGAAAATGAGTGAATATGAGTACCGGTATCAGTGACCAGGAAAGAAAGAAATCCAAAGAATTACCAGTGTGGCTAACAAGCAGAGCAAGGAAAATAACTGGCAGAAAACTGTCTGTCTGTCTATAAAACATAAGTAAACCAACCCATAAAATGTAAGTAAAGTTCATTCAAATCATGGGTATACCATCCCTCACCATAAAGCCTCTGGCACAGTTCAGTTCTGAATAATTTCTGAAAGGTAACTATGGTGGGGAGGAGGCTGTTTCACAATAAAGTGAAAACTAGTGCTATGAGCCTCATTACCACATACTTTGCAGAAATGGGGAATAACAGCAGTTTCTCTTGGGGTATACGTGGTAGGCTGATGGTTGGAAGAAGCAATTTAGGAAGCACCTTTGTGCCAAAATATATGGGGCTTTACAAGTAATGACCAGAACTATGAACTGCATTTATAATATGCTTCAGAAAACTAGTGCCAATCAATAAACAGACAATTGCATTCAACTGCAATGGATTTGCTGAACCTTCTACTGGTCTTCAAAAGTTGCTTCACATAAAGCACATTCCAGTAGTCTAGATGGCAGTGATGAAGTCCAGGCACTGCCACAACTAATAGACCAACAGAGGTAAGTAGCTGCTAGTCCAGGATGAATTCCCCGCGCAGAACTGCTCTTTAGGGACAGTGCCATGGTACTTAGAGATGTCACTCTGGTTGCTAGAGTACTGGCATCTGGTTGACTATTTTGGATTAGATAAATTAGATATGCTGGACTAGATAAGCTTTAGTGTCATCCAGCAGGCTGTCTTAATTTTGAGATATTTTTAAAAAGGGATGGTTCATAGATGACAGAGTTCACAATTTGTCCTTAGGGAGATACTATAGATCACTTCTTTTGAACTGCCTGCAGCATAGATAAATGATACTGGATGAGGTGTATATGAAGTGGCAGTTGACTAATAAAAATGCAGGTAGTCTTGACTGTCATCCCTCCCAGGTAAACCAGAGAAGAAATGGTTTGATCAACTAATTCCACCTTACTATAGGGCTGCATTAACTAAATCTTGAAAGTCTGAAAATACAAACTTCCCACCGCCATTTTTAACTGCTTGAACCATGAGGGTGAATTCTTCCTCTGACTGTTAAGCCACTGGGGACTCCTGCCTTCTTGTCTGATTGTTTCTTAGTCAGCAACAACTCCCCTTGATCCCCAAGGTCACCTGCACATTTCATTACATTCACTGACAACTGTTTGTTTAATGGCGGTTCAAAATTAGGATGGCCTCAAAAAAAACTATTTATGATCCCTCCTTAAAGTTAGAACTGTTAGACTACCTCCATCGCTACCTGGTTGCAATTTGGGTGCTTGGCAATCCGCTTGCATTTATGACAACTCTAATGCCTTGTGGTCCACGTGATCACAATTTGTGGCCTTCGGAGCTGGTGTCCGAAAAGCAAAGTCAATTTGGGAAGCCGGATTCACTTAATGACTGCATGTTTTGCTTAATGACTGTGGTAAAAATGGTTATACAATTGGGTCTGCTCACATGATGACTCATTGTATAACTGTACTGACTTATGATGGAAATTCCAATCCCAATTGCAGCCGTAAATCGAAGATTACGTGGTAGCATACATGTACTCTTATTGAATCCTATTAGATGTGAGACAATGGCTTGAACAAATGACCAGTTTCTGCTTAATGTATTTTGTAATTCAAGGTTTGGGATGCATAATGATCTCTCAGTGTTTAAATCCTATCACATAAAGTGAGTCATAAACCAAATGTGCTAATCACAAGTGAGGCATTCTGAACACTTTTCAGATATGGTTTTGGAACAACACGATTTGTATGAATTCAGCTTCCATTTATTTACTTAAACCAAATTATTGGCAGTTTCAGAGAGTTATTTAAAGTGACAACCACAGATTTTTCATATGGGAAAGAGAACAGGGGTAGATTTTTTTTTTAAAAAAGGGAGTACTGTAATTCACTTCAAAACCTTCAGTACCGTACTTTCTCTCAATAGGTTTTTTTAAACACATATTAAAAATCACAGGGACTAGAGCAGACATTTACAGGATTACTTAAAAGTGTTTCTTCAGGGAAGAAGGAAAAGTTGTCTATAAACTTTTTGGATTTATCCTTTGAGACCACAAAGCTGCTACTAAATACCGTAGCCCTTCAAATTAGAAGAAGATGAGAGATCAAAGAAAATCAATGGGGTCAAAATCCAGCAAAGGTAGGTTTAGTTACAAACTCTACCTTGTAATAGACTAATATTGAGCTAGGTAATAGGTCAATGGAAAATGATTTGGAA